GTGAACGCAGCTATAGAGAACAGTGTTATATTTCTTAATAGAGAGGCGAAGTCCCTCCCCTTCTGGTGGACCTCCATGAGACCTTATTTCGGAAAAATGATGTATTGAAGTCAATGGAGAGAGAAAGATTATCTTTCGATCCCGTTTGAATTGTGCCACGAATTACACATATTATGTTTGTCAATTTAAAAAAAAATATTTTGCCGTAAAACTGTGAAGTAACACATTTTTTGTGTGAAACCGCTCAATGAACTACATCTCTGGTCTCGCATAACAACCCACGTCACCAAGATGGCCGTCACTACTGGCTTGCCAAACAAGGGATTGACTACCCTCACTATCACCACAATGAAACACGTCCAGAAGAATGTCATGCAAAGCTGCCTGCCTGCCTGCCTTCCTTCGATTCTCCCTGAACTGCCGGATCTTTTTAATGTTCAATGTTAACCATTTGTGCAGATAGCATGAAGTAGAAAAGATCACCGATGCTAATGTAGCGTTAGCATGTCTCCCTCGGGGGCATCCGGGCTTAAAGGTGTATTATAGAATGATCACACCGGTGTGACAGTACTCTTCAAAGGGTTCACGAAATATGACTACTACTCTACTGTTTAACACTTTGGTGTTACTTCATGTTAAGGCTAATATAAATGACAAGGCTAAGCCGGCTGTAATGCTAACTAACGTGCTTGCTACTAGCTAACTTGATCCAGCCACTCTGGTCCTTTCATCAGACGGGAAGCGAAAGAACGAGTAAGACCCATTGCTGGTATGATTACAGCCTGGTACAAAGCACACAGGCATATTGTTAAAGTTATCTTAGCTATCTCTTATATTTAGTGGAGGAAAACAACTATGACATCACTTACGCGACTCTGGGATTTGTAGTTTTTCTAGTTGCATATTTTTCATAGTCTTATATTTCAACAGTTTTACGACAAACTCTGACTTTTTTGACATGGAAATTATTTTTAAGATTGACAAACATCATATGTGTAATTCACGACACAATTCAAACGGGATCGAAAGATACGTTTTCTCTCCCCATTGACTTCAATACATAATTTTTCCGAAATAAGGTCCCATGGAGTGGAAGTAGATGGGCGGGACTTCGCCTCTCTATTGGGGGGTTTAAGATAAAAATAGGATAAGATAAGATAAGATAAGAAGTACTTTATTGATCCCAATCTGGGAAATGTTTGCATTGCAGCAGCATAAAAATACATGGCGTTGCACATTAGAGAAATTAAAAGACTAGAAATAAACAATCCAAAATGTAAACATCTCAAATAGAAATAAAAGAGCATTAAAAAAGTAGAAAATGTTCATGTTGTTTTACAGGATTTGAGGTGTTATTTTATTTATATTAATTTAATAATTATATCATTATTATATTCCCTCTGGAGCCGACAGGTGGCGGCGATGCGCCATTACACTCCTAACCGCCGGGAACCCGAAGAACAAGAAAGGAGTTCTATTTTGAAACTCGAGGAAGCTAATATTTACATCTGAGCGGTGACTTTATTTAACTCTAAAACAGACCGAAAATAAAGGAAAACACGTGAGGAACATGGAGGGAGCTTCTACTAAAGGTAAAGGAGAGTGTGTGTGTCAGTACGGATAGTTAGCTGGCTGCTAAGCTAACTGTTATAGTTTGTTGTGATGCTTCGTTAGCTTTAATGCTAACTGAAGCTAAACTTGTCCCTACAAGTCTTTGAGTTTAAATATCATTTATTTATTTCGGTTTTGTGAGAGTTAACCTTCCTGTCATGTTCTTTCTATGTTGTTTAATGATCCTTACAGCCCAGCTATCTATACATGTATTATGTCCTAATGTGCATACATGCCAACCTTTCCAAATCCAAAAGAGGTAGGTTTGCGCGCGGCAAATGTGCACGCCCAAATTAGGTAATCAGAAGAAATGGAACCACAGTAATTACATGTATAAACCATGTATTTAACATATATTGCATCATTTTATGCATTTTTCAGAAAAAGTGGTAGTTTGGTAAACAGTGACATCAACGACATGTTTGGTCTGTAAAATGCCAGAAAAGTAAAAGAATGGGAGATAAATATCCCAAAGTCTCCACATTTTATTATATTTTTAATGTGTTTCTGGTCCTCTTTCAGTTGCATTGTTGGAGAAGCCTGTGACATAAGATTTTCAACAACATAATTACTCTGTAGCTATGTTAGTTTGACAATAAAGAACCTTGAACCTTGACATTGTAGATCAGGGGTGCCCAACCTTTTTTGAACCGAGAGCTACTTTTAAAGTGGCCAGTCTGCCGAGATCTACCAGTCCAAATAGAGAGGTGTAGCCATTACTGACAGCCTACAACCAGGTAAATACACACTTCTACTTGTATAAAACTGACCTTTGTACGATTAATACTTCATAAAATACTGCAGATCCTTTATCTTACCTCTTTCTAATCTACACACATACAAGTATTTAACTGAAGTTACACAACAGTGTTGTTGATACAGAGTTGGAGTTTATTCACACGTCACAAACTACAGTGGGTAATGTTTTCAAGAAACATTTAACAGTGCTGCCACATATGACACAGGAGAAAAAGAAAAGACTCTGAACCCTTTCTTTGCCATTATATAAAAATAGTGTTGCTACAAAAGTATAAATTAGTTTTACTAATAAGACAACTCAGATCTGAAGCTACACAGGAATCTGCTGCCAAAGTGCAATAAAAAAGACAAAATTAATAGAATCAAACCCTTTTTGTTGCATTTTAGTAGAGTATAAAAATAAATGCCTTTAAAATAGGATGCAAGCAACACTAGTTTCTTAACCTGAATTGATAATAGACTATAATCAATTTAAACAGAACAGATCTTAAAGTTTGCATTCTTATACCATTTTGTACAATCATTATAATGAATAAGTTCAAACAAACTAAAACGTACAGCTGATTAATAACGGTATCTAACTTGAGTTTTTATTAAATGCCTGTTGAAATGCTACTGTTATTTTTACTGTCTCCAAAAAGCGCGTCGGCAGCCTCCAGGAATGCTTCTTTCACAACTTCGCCGTCTTTGACAGACTTCATGTGTTTCGCAAGAACGTGACTGACACGATAAGATGCTATGGTAGCAGCCTTGCTCTTGTTGTTGGGCCTGGTGAAAATGGACTGCTGTGCATTCAGCTGTCCTTTCAGGTCCCTCACCTTTTGGGAGCGTAGGGCAGAATTAGGAGGGAATTCCGTCTCGTAGCGTTTGTGCACTGTTTTGAAATGCCGCTCCTAAATTACCCTTCTTCGATAAAGCCACGCTCGCATTGCAGATGAGACAGATGGACTTTGAATTGGAATAGATACAAAAATAATCATCCTCCCACTCGGAGTGAAAATTATATATTTGGGGCTCTTTTGCTTTTGCCATAATTGTGGTCTTGTGTGTGCGGACTGCACAGCAAACTATTGCCCACTGCCCACCAGCCACGCCCCGATACATGGGGTCACGCCAATCACAAAGCTTTGATGCGTTCAAGTGCATTATTCTGGCACAGGAAGATTATGTTATAGGACATTAACGATAAAACAGAATATTGTTGTTCTATTTTTAGACACATCTCGCGATCGACTGAAACACAGAGGACTGTTTGTATGATGGGATCACAGACACGCTGCAAACGGTGTCCGCCAAAAGTCGAGTCCAGTGTCTATGTAGTGTCATTTTTATTTGTTATAGTTTGGGAAGATTGAAAATCGGTAGGGAGAGTCAGCTAAATCGGTAGGCGGTAGAAACATGTCAAAAGCGGTAGACTACCGCCCAAATCGGTAGGGTTGGCAGGTATGAATGTGGTGTTGATATTGTCATTATTGGGAATATTGCCTGAAAGTACACAACTCATATTATAATAATACATTTTAAAAAGCACAATGATCGGATTATTTTGACTATAAAAAACACTAATCGGGATTATATTGTGCCTATTATCACCGAGTACTTAATGTCAGAGAAACCCAGTGGTGTAAAGTAACTAAGTACATTTACTCATGTACTTTTGAGGTACTTATACTTAACTTGAATATTTACATGTTATGCTAATGTTTACTTCTACTCCACTACAGTTATTTAATACCTTTAGTTACTTACAGTCCTCTCCTGCTGATGTTAGTGTTTCATTTATGAAAAGAAGTCACAAATTAACAGAAAGAAATGGGTTATTCTCTTAAATGTAATTGTTTAAAATGTACGTAAAACCAGTCACACATTTCCAAAAAACAACGTGCATCATCTCTGTAATTTAAGGGGTATGTTTACAAGATACAAACTCAAAGTTATGAGGAAAATCTTGGCTATTGTGTGAAGTTTGAGTGGTTAAATGTAATTGTTTAAATTGATGTAAAACCAGTCGCATTTTATGCTACTTTGTACTTCTACTACTCTACAGTTCAGAGGTAAACTGTGTACTTTTACTCCACTACATGTATTTAATACCTTTAGTTCCTTCACAGATGTGGATGAATGATGTGAAATATAATCAAGTGTTAAATCAGACTTTAGTTCCACCTGGAGTAAATTCACAAGCTACCCTGCAGTATACAAAGTCGTTCAAACGAGCTGCACCTTTACCAGCTTTGAGAACACTTTCATGATCAATCATTATAAAACATATCATATATATTATTCTGAAATGGACCAATCTGCACAATGACTACTTTTACTGTCGCTACTTCAACTATATTTTGATGAGAATACTTTTATACTTTTACTTGAGGAACATTTTGAATGCAGGACTTTTACTGAAACAGAGTATTCCTACACCCTGGTACTTTTACTCAAGTACAAGATCTGAGTACTTCTACTTTTACTGAAGTACAAGATCTGAGTACTTCTACTTTTACTCAAGTAGATCTGAGTACTTCTACTTTTACTCAAGTACAATATCTGAGTACTTCTACTTTTACTCAAGTACAAGATCTGAGTACTTCTACTTTTATCTAATGGTAGGGTTTCTGTTTGTTCCCCCTCAGGTATTCTGAGTCACCTGAGTCTGCTGGAGGTTCAGGTGAGGAGTCGGACAACTCAGCGACAGCAACCGAGTCGAGTGAAGGAGCTTCAGGAGAAGACTGCTGCTCTGAGGAGACAGAAAGAGCAGCTCGAAGCAGAGATACAGACACACACAACATATATGACTTTACATCTTTCAAAGAGTCCTCTCCTGCTGATGTTCAGGTGTATATCAGTATGTAGTGTATCTACTTTAAAGAGTCCTCTCCTGCTGATGTTCAGGTGTATATCAGTATGTAATATCTCTACTTTAAAGAGTCCTCTCCTGCTGATGTTCAGGTGTATATCAGTATGTAGTGTCTCTACTTTAAAGAGTCCTCTCCTGCTGATGTTCAGGTGTATATCAGTATGTAGTGTCTCTACTTTAAAGAGTCCTCTCCTGCTGATGTTCAGGTGTATATCAGTATGTAATATCTCTACTTTAAAGAGTCCTCTCCTGCTGATGTTCAGGTGTATATCAGTATGTAGTGTCTCTACTTTAAAGAGTCCTCTCCTGCTGATGTTCAGGTGTATATCAGTATGTAGTGTCTCTACTTTAAAGAGTCCTCTCCTGCTGATGTTCAGGAGTATATCAGTATGTAGTGTCTCTACTTTAAAGAGTCCTCTCCTGCTGATGTTCAGGTGTATATCAGTATGTAGTGTCTCTACTTTAAAGAGTCCTCTCCTGCTGATGCTCAGGTGTATATCAGTATGTAGTGTCTCTACTTTAAAGAGTCCTCTCCTGCTGATGTTCAGGTGTATATCAGTATGTAGTGTCTCTACTTTAAAGAGTCCTCTCCTGCTGATGTTCAGGTGTATATCAGTATGTAGTGTCTCTACTTTAAAGAGTCCTCTCCTGCTGATGTTCAGGTGTATATCAGTATGTAATATCTCTACTTTAAAGAGTCCTCTCCTGCTGATGTTCAGGTGTATATCAGTATGTAGTGTCTCTACTTTAAAGAGTCCTCTCCTGCTGATGTTCAGGTGTATATCAGTATGTAGTGTATCTACTTTAAAGAGTCCTCTCCTGCTGATGTTCAGGTGTATATCAGTATGTAATATCTCTACTTTAAAGAGTCCTCTCCTGCTGATGTTCAGGTGTATATCAGTATGTAGTGTCTCTACTTTAAAGAGTCCTCTCCTGCTGATGTTCAGGTGTATATCAGTATGTAGTGTATCTACTTTAAAGAGTCCTCTCCTGCTGATGTTCAGGTGTATATCAGTATGTAATATCTCTACTTTAAAGAGTCCTCTCCTGCTGATGTTCAGGTGTATATCAGTATGTAGTGTCTCTACTTTAAAGAGTCCTCTCCTGCTGATGTTCAGGTGTATATCAGTATGTAGTGTCTCTACTTTAAAGAGTCCTCTCCTGCTGATGTTCAGGTGTATATCAGTATGTAGTGTCTCTACTTTAAAGAGTCCTCTCCTGCTGATGTTCAGGTGTATATCAGTATGTAGTGTCTCTACTTTAAAGAGTCCTCTCCTGCTGATGTTCAGGTGTATATCAGTATGTAGTGTCTCTACTTTAAAGAGTCCTCTCCTGCTGATGTTCAGGTGTATTTCAGTATGTAGTGTCTCTACTTTAAAGAGTCCTCTCCTGCTGATGTTCAGGTGTATTTCAGTATGTAGTGTCTCTACTTTAAAGAGTCCTCTCCTGCTGATGTTCAGGTGTATTTCAGTATGTAGTGTCTCTACTTTAAAGAGTCCTCTCCTGCTGATGTTCAGGTGTATATCAGTATGTAGTGTCTCTACTTTAAAGAGTCCTCTCCTGCTGATGTTCAGGTGTATATCAGTATGTAGTGTCTCTACTTTGAAGAGTCCTCTCCTGCTGATGTTCAGGTGTATATCAGTATGTAGTGTCTCTACTTTAAAGAGTCCTCTCCTGCTGATGTTCAGGTGTATATCAGTATGTAGTGTCTCTACTTTAAAGAGTCCTCTCCTGCTGATGTTCAGGTGTATATCAGTATGTAGTGTCTCTACTTTAAAGAGTCCTCTCCTGCTGATGTTCAGGTGTATATCAGTATGTAGTGTCTCTACTTTAAAGAGTCCTCTCCTGCTGATGTTCAGGTGTATATCAGTATGTAGTGTCTCTACTTTAAAGAGTCCTCTCCTGCTGATGTTCAGGTGTATATCAGTATGTAGTGTCTCTACTTTAAAGAGTCCTCTCCTGCTGATGTTCAGGTGTATATCAGTATGTAGTGTCTCTACTTTAAAGAGTCCTCTCCTGCTGATGTTCAGGTGTATATCAGTATGTAGTGTCTCTACTTTAAAGAGTCCTCTCCTGCTGATGTTCAGGTGTATATCAGTATGTAGTGTCTCTACTTTAAAGAGTCCTCTCCTGCTGATGTTCAGGATCTCCTGACTCTGAGGGCGTCTCTGGACAAACGGCATGATGACGATGAAGAAGATGAGGAAGAAATGGAGGAAGACTCTGAGAACTCAGATGTTTTGCGACTGATGGCTCGGCACACTCAGAAAGACCTTCTGAACGCTCACACCATCGGTACTCTTTTATTATTATTAAATATTTATGGCCCCAAACTGTGTTTTAGATTTACATTTTTGGGGGGATTTAGATTTTCTTTTGGACTGCGTTAAGCATGAAAGGTGCTATATAAATAAAGTTTATTATTATTTGAGATGTTCTCTATACTGAAACCCCTCTCTTTTTGCCTCTCAGGTGGGTACGACTTCACAAAGACTCGTCGGGGAAAAGGACTTTGTGTCTCGATAGCGACGGCGTTTGAAGGCGTTTATTTGGAGACGTTCAGTCTGGAGTTTGACGTGAAGCCGGCACTGAGACTCGTCCGTCACGACGTCCCGCCCTTCATCCCGCTGACCCTCCTCATCGAGCAGAGCCGGATTCAAACCGACATCCGGACGCTGCTGGACCCCCTGAGCCGCCAACTGAACGCCTTCACAGCGAGGAAGAGGCAGCTGCAGCTCCTCAAGGTCTCACACCTAAAAGTTTTAAAACGCAGGGTATTGTCTGTGGAGGTGATGGAGAGTAACTGTGTTCAGTTAGTTTAATCTCTCTCTCTCTCTCTCTCTCTCTCTCTCTCTCTCTCTCTCTCTCTCTCTCTCTCTCTGTCTCTGTCTCTCTCGGTCTCTCTCATCTCTCTCTCTCGTCTCCTCTCCCTCTCTCTCTCTCCTCATTCTCTCTCTCTCTCCTCCTCCCTCTCTCAGTCTCTCTCTCTCTCTCTCTCTCTCTCTCCCCCTCCCGTTTGTTGTTCAGAGGCTTCATGAGACTGTGAAGGTGATGGAGAGTAACGTCCTGTGTTCGTTAATCGTCCTGTGTTCGTTAATGGTCCTGATGTTCGAGCTTCCTGTGGAGAAGAAGGTCGTTCTCTGCTCGCTCCATTACTGCGACACCAGCCGGAGTCTCCCAACACGCGTCTCCTTCCAGTGTGACGGTACTTTACTACGAATATGATCATTATGGGAACTGAACGTTCCCATAATGATCAGAACCAGAGTTAAAGTACAAAAGCAGGTTTACACATAGGAGGAATTTGCTTGGTGTGAGCAAAACATTGTAATATTTAACTACTTTAAAGACTCAGAATTTTCACTTTCTCAGAATTTTCACTTTTCTCAAAAATGTTCTGAGCAAAAATAAATTATATTTTAAAAACTACTTTTAAGACTATTATACCAAATTGGAAAATAAAGACAATATTTCAAAATATAAATATGTTATAAATTGAGAACAGTAAAATAAAATATGACATGCTATAAATTCAACGTGGAGAGCTGTGCAGATTTAAATATAGGTTGTGTGGAGTGTAAATGTACAACATGTGCAGGATTTATATCGTAATAATGTCCATTAAAGACCCAATTTGTGAGTTAATCAGTTAGTGCAGCGGTTTTCAAAGTGTGAGGCGAGCCTCCCTTAGGGGGCGCCAGAGAGCTTCAGGGGAGGCGCAGCCTGAGAAAAAAATAACGAGAAACAGTGAAATCTAGCTAACTTTATGCGAGCGGCTCAGTGTGCGAAAAAGCACACGTCCGATCGTCCGGGACGTGTTATTTATAATATCGGACAAATACATCTTTCCATTGACGTGTCCGACGGACAAGTGACGTTTTTCGCCCATAAATGTTAGTTTTGGTTCTGCTTGTCGATTCCTAAGGAAATGCATCTCGCCGCTTTCTGTACTGTTAGACGGAATTAGATTCAAACTAGGGCTGAACGATTAATCGATTTTAAATCGAAATCGCGATTTTAAATGATTCAATTATCAAATCGTTTTTTTTGTTCTTGTGTGTCAGTCATCCACACCAATCAGAAGTGCTGTGCTCCACATGTACCAGCCATTGTTAACCAATCAGAAGTGGCCCATGATAGTAGGTGATAGACAGATTGATCCAATCACCTGCCAAGTGTTTTTGAAAGTGCCTGCCTTTTCCAAATGGCTTCCAATGGAGCTTTCCTAGATGGTTTCTGAGTCAGGTTAGTAATGCTCCATCACATGTTTCTATTACAGGGTGAATCTGAAACTGAAGCTTGACTTTAAAGCAACCCAACGGAAGTTTCATGTAAGTTTAGTTCTTTCACTCGTAGCTCGGGCTGCGGGGGTGCTAGAGACGGGAGCACGTTGATGCGACCTTCCTAGCCGGAGATATGGCCGCATTTTACAATAAACTTCCGTTGGGTCGCTTAAAAACAAATATCGCAAATCGAATCGCAATCGCAATATTTGTCAGAAAGATCGCAATTAGATTTTTTCCCAAAATCGTGCAGCCCTAATTCAAACACACAGAGACGAGACAAGAAGAGAGAAACAGTCGGAGTAATTTCAAATGGCGTGCTCAAAAAAGAGAGAGGTAGACAGCGAAAACAGAGCATTTAATGACATGTTCTCTCACTGGACCTCTTTGAAATGCAATTGAATGCCCCTGCCCCGGCGCGGCTGTTCTTATGTTCTCTGAGGGGAGGCTCACCTTCCCATACTTTGAAAACCCCTGAGTTAGTGCATTGATGCAAAATCTATTGGCATTAGTTTTGATAATATTAGTAGTTTTTGTCGAGCCTTTTCTTTTCTAAATCCTAGGAAATGTGATATATCTGCAGGATTCTTTAACCAACAAAATCATTTAAATTAATCCAGAAAAATGTCTATTATACTTTTATATATTTAGCATTAGAGCACTCTTACTCGTGCAATAATAAAATACTAAATGTATGACTGGAGACAAACAGAGATGACACGCTGTATGTAGAATATTCCCTCCTTTATAAATGTGATTATTATGCATTTATATATTTGTGTTTTCTGCAGATAAGGCTCTTCCTGATTTTCCGGAGTGGAAGAAGACCCTCCTGGAGACCCCGCTGCACAAAGCTCTGAGCACCATGAGGAACATGGGAAACATCCTGTAGTTTAATCAGAGACATAATGAACATTTCCACATTTAAAATGCACAGTTCTGGTTTTTAGAAGTGAGGGATATTAGCAGAAAACAGCAGCTAAGTTATATGACTCCTGTGGACGAGCTGCAGTCACATAAAACACGTTTATATTTAAACTTTATTTAGAATATTTCCCCTCTTGACCTTGTTGTTATCTATGCTTTTTTTTAAAGATACCAGGCTCCATAGAAATCTCATAATATCAGAACTTTGTTGTTGAAATACCAGAACTATTTTCTGTTTTGTACAATGATTGTTTAAATTGTAACTGCAACAACCTATTATTAAACATCCATAAAACATGTTATATCTGTTTATATTTAAGCTTTATTTAGATTATTTCCCCTCTTTACCTTGCAGCTCTTTCTGATGGTATCTGGGCTTGATGTCTAAATCTATTGGTTCTCAGTGATCAGCTGATATCAGAGCTGCTGAGTCTTCTTCACTTTTTAAGTAAGTCAAGAAGACTATGTACTCGGGGATGTTCTGACGGCGGCGGTTGAAGAAGGCGTTGAACCAATTCAACCGCCGCGGTGTGCTCGTCGGCTCCTCCACCTGCACAGCCTCCTCCTCCACCACCTCCACCTGCACAGCCCCCACCTCTTCCTCCTCCTCCCCCTCCTCCTCCTCCACCCCACATCGTAGCTTCAGCGTCCGGTTCTCCTCTCGCAGGCGGGCGTTCTCCAGATCCTTCTCCTCTTTCTCCACATGGAGCTTTCTGTTGATTCTCAACAAAGTGACGATGTCCACATTATTGTCGTCAGCACACAGTTCTCTCAGATCCTGGTTCTGCTTTCTCAAGATGTCCATCTCTGCTTCGGCCTTCATCTGCGTCTTGAGGAGATTTCCATATCTCAGGTTCAGGTTCTCCAAGTCATCCCTCAAGACGTTCCGCTGAATCTCCATATAAACCTTTGCTTCCTCACAATGTTCCTTCTGTTCTGTGAGATCCTGGTTCTCCTCTAGGAGCTTTGAATATTTCCTGTTCAGCTTCTCATAGGTTAAAACTCTCTTCTCCTCATGTGAAGGAACGTCTGAAGGAACATCTGAAGGAACATCTGAAGGAACGTCTGAAAAACTGACCAACAGCTGCTCTCTGTTGTCCTCCATCTCTATGAATGAGCTGCTGTTTAGCTAAATGTACTTACCGTGCTGTTGCCTGGCAACACAGTTCTGTTCAAATCATATTAAGAAATGTAAACATCAATAAAAAATACTTTATTGATCCCAAAAACACAGGAAGTTAAAGTACTGAGCCAGGCCCGGTTCTACGGGGGTGCATAGGCATGCATTGCTCCCTCAGTTGAATGTTATGCACCCTCTATTCAAAAAAGAGAAGGGATCGAAAAATATTATACAATATAAAACAAATTGTGTCAGGTGCGCGTGACCTGCGCCGCTGTGCGAGCATAATTTCCAAAGTGCTTCCACAGCAGGGACACACATCTGTGGATGATCACGGATATACGAAAATGGTTAAAGCAACCATCACTAAATGCCAGCAACACTGCATCTACTGCAGACAATAGCAAAAGGTCGGATGGGGACATCACGTAACCCTCCGTCGTGGACACTAGGTTACTACCGCCCGACTCGCCGCCCCCGGAGCAGCAGTCTTCGTCGCCCGAAACAACGCCACCCCTCGGAGGCCCGCGGGTGCCAGGGGACCTCGGCAAAACAGAGCCTGCCCAGGTATATCTAAACAAGTACCCGCCTGTACAGTGGGGGAAGGCGTCATTTTGTAGCTCGTGGTATAAAAATAGACTATGGCTAGAATATTCATGTGAAAATAGTGCCATATTCTGCCATGCCTGTAGAAATGTTGGGTCAAATAATGCATGCATGTACAATAGCACAAATGCCTTTACCACGACTGGCTACAAAAATATCTCATATCCCAAGCTTATCAACGAGCTAATGTTGCAGCTGAAATGTTCTCCAGGTCACAAAGTCAACCTCACATGATGATGTGATCCAGTTTTCAAGCACAGTAGATATTCTCTTCCCAGAGTATATGATGGGACCAAGGTGTTGATGTAGTACATGGTTTTAATAATACTTTTGCCTTTCAATGTTTGACATTTCAAACCATGAGCTGGTTCAAATAATATTTGCCTTGATATACAATATGTTCTCATTTGTTTTATCAGTGTAGTTTTGCAGCTATTGTGCTTTTCTTTGCCATAGTCCACTTTGGACTGTCAGCTGTGTTTACTAGCACCATTCAAACAAGACGCGCTGGCTCGGGGGCTACAACTACATCACAATTAACATATTTTACCGTGATTTAATTATAATACACGTTTCAAAATGATGCCGAAGTAATAACATACTGATACGGGTTAGTAAAAACCATGAATTAATGCTTTGACAAGTCTGCAGACAGACGGCAGGCAAAAAACCTTTTAAAATGCTTGTTTTCTGAATGAAGATCGGATCGACCAGGCTAAGCTAACGTTGTATATGCTCCGTCCACACTCACAACAACGGCCTACAGACAGGAATAAAGCAGCGACTGTATTCGCCATGACACAGACAGTCTGTGGTTTGTACTTATTTAACTTTTGTCCAGTTTCTGAACAGATATGAGGAGCTGTGAGCTCTGTGTGCTAACTGCTAACAGCTAACGGCTGATGTTTTCTGGTTGAACATCAGTGACGGCAGGCTGAGATCCTCACCGCTGATTGGCTACCGCGAGATCGCGTCACGCGAATATGACGCTTGAGTTGAAAAAATTGAACTTGAGCGTTTGTCGCGGCCCCCTTCAATCGCCTCAAACATCGCATCGCCTCCGGTGTGAACGCAGCTATAGAGAACAGTGTTATATTTCTTAATAGAGAGGCGAAGTCCCTCCCCTTCTGCACTGTAAGACCGAACATTACAAGCTTCTGAAAGAAAATGGGTTGTTTTAACTCAAACCCTTAAAAAAGTTAATTCACCGCTAATGTTTTGATGACTATGAACTGATTTTTAATATTGTGTATACAGTTGTTACAGGCTTGGCCTGTCACTTTAAGAGTAGCAGCCGCAAGGGGTTGTGGGTTTTTGGAAGTCCGGTGTGTGTAAAATGTGATGGCCAAGGCGAAGTGCGGAGGTATGAAGAGAGAGACGAAAGTATAGAGAAAGTGGTCAGAAAAGGAGTATAGTGTCTAGTTTGTATGTATTCAATTCAGTGTCCATGTAATTGAAGAACGTAAATAAACGGAGGTTCTTCCCACGGCACCCGAACGCATCGTCTTCATCCTTTTTCCCCTCGAAATATCTGGACAGCTAGTTACCGGCTGACAACGAGCCAAGTCAGAAACCACCGGTGTGTATCCGAAACTACGGTTTCGGTGCCGAGATACCGTCAGTATAAAAGGTAACATTGGGGGCTCGTCCGAGATTTTTTTTTTTCTACGGGGGAGAAGAGTGGAGTGGATTTAATGGCAGCGTTCGGAGCTAACGCTAATGCTAATCACAGACTGAGACAAGCTGATGCAGCTAACGGAAAAAGCCCACGGAAAAGCTCTAATCCATTCTTGGTGAATATTGATGAGGCTGTTCAAAGTCAGGTGGACATGTTTGACCAGACAATTATGGATTATACTGGGTATGGGGACTGCACCAACCCCTTTCTGACTAGCATGGAGCTAACGCTAGCCGGAGCCGCAAGCTACGCCACGCCGCTGGAAGCATCACTGGCGCCAACTAACCCTTTCATCATGCCGACAAAGGAGCAAGCACAGCCAAATAGTGAGTTTCTCACCCCCTTTCCACCAAAATGTGACCGTTTAATGAGCATGGTATCAACTTCAGCTAAACCAGCTAATCCTTTCACCTCCATGGACTATAGCCACTCTATGCCGACCATCCCAAGTTACTCAGCTCATTCACAGTGCCTTCAGCCGCCAGTGTCACCATTAACACCCTGTATGCAGCAGCCTGCCACACTGCCTTGTAAAGTACAAGCTCACACATGCTCAGCTGTGCACTGTGGGACCGCACCTGGCCAGTGTGAGTGCGATCAGCCTAACATGAGGAGAGCTTGGTCTGAACCACGCAGCTCTGCAGCTCGTGCAGCACACAGAGAGGACTATATGGACACAAGTGATGAAGATGAACACCGTGGACACAGAGAGAGAATACCAACATTACGCCCAAGCCAGTTTGATGGGGCTGGCTCGTGGAGAGACTTCCTCTTCCATTTTAAAGGATGTGCTGAGGCTAACCACTGGTCAGAGAGGACTATGGCTGTGCATCTCAGATTCAGCTTGACTGGACCCGCGGCTGCCATCATCCACAAGAACCCCAGATCTACTCGCTGGAGTTATCAGCGGATGGTGAGTGAGATTGAGGCGGCCTACGGACCGTGTTCAGAACATGCTGCTGCCATAGGCATTGAACTGAGACAGAGAGTCAGAGGACCGGGGGAGGCCCTGCACCTGTTAAGAGACGACATCTATGAAAAAGTGTCAATTGTGTATGCTGACCGTAATGAGCCGGAGCAGGACGTCATCAGTGTGGAGATTTTCACCAACGCCCTTGCCGATGCAGAAGTGATCCAAAGACTACTGGAGGACAAGCCGCGCACCTTGGCTAGAGCCTACGAGATAGCCCACAGGTATGAAGCCACCAGACGGGCTGCCAGAGCCGTCACACAGCTAATGCAGTCTGGTTATCGCAATGCTGCAGAGCGGAGACCCAGGGCAGCTATGGTGCACGAAAATGCTAATGTTTCCGCCTGTATGGAGGCTTTCGGGGTGGCTGAAGAGTGGGCCCGCTAGCACCCAGAGTAAAGCACAGAGGTTTAACCAGCAGTGGTCGCCTAACAGAGCTAAACCTGTACAAATGAACTCTAGAGAAGTCATCTGCCACAACTGCTCTGGTGTGGGGCACATACAAAGGAACTGTCCCTCTTCCCGAAAACGCAAACAGCATGCACCTAATAACACTCCAGCTCCTGACTCAGGTACGGTGGTCACATGCAATAAAGGCTCTGATGATGACATGAGTATCCGGATACTGATACAGGGACATGAACTGTGTGCTCTGCTCGACTCTGGCGCTCGGAGGAATGTACTCCCCCTCCGCCACTTCAACGCCATTCCTGTTGAATCGAGGCCTCAAATCCAGCCATCCATCGTACAAGTATTACAAGGCATCGGTCCCGAGGGCATCGCTGTCCGAGGGGAAGTCAACCTGCCAGTTCAAGCCGGAAGCAAGGTAACCAATGTGAACTTTATTATAGCAGACACAGCTGAAAATACAGAGGTTATCCTGGGGCACCCTTTTCTGCTG